GAGGATGTCAGAACAACGGTCTTAGAATGGCATCCAAACCCGGTTGAGGCTTGGGGATTTCTACAATTGCAATGCTATTAATTACTTACGAAAAATCCTGAAGAAGAGAGAAAAGCAATCGACATTAGACAGATTCTTTAACCCTTTCAAATGGAAAAAAACATGACTAATAAAAATGCAAGACTGTGTGTGTATGTATTTTTATTATTACATATAAATAAACATAGTAAGAAAGTATATAATTTTTTATTTTTGGGGGGTCTCCAGAATGGATTAATCAAATTTCCATAAAAATCTATGGTAAATCAATAGTTGGTTAATGAACAATTTGGATAGCGAATACAGTCTTGGAATGTATTTTTTTTTTTAGACAAATAGGTAGTATTTTTTTTAAGTAGGCAAATAGACATAGAATAAGTAGACATAGAATGAATAGACAAGTAGAAAACACATACAGTAAACACAATAATGTGTTTACTGTGTGTTTCTATTTGTCAGAAAAATGCCTGCTAATATTAGACTATGTAATGTACTGTACAAGTGAGACTCCAAAAGAAATGCACTAAATTTTGTTTAAAAATGCTTTTAATGTTACAGCTGTATGCAGATCCTTGCAACTTTCAGGTACAGTACATTGTCTTATTTTTCCATATAGTTTCCATTATTCTGATAAACTATTCTTTACCTTGAAACTCTCTTGTATCTCTGCATGTTAGAACTCAGGACCACATTCTTGAACCACATTTTCACTGTTGCTGTATCTGAAGTGAAAATATGGCTCAAGAATGCAAATAAGTACAAGTAACTCATTATCAGGGAAGTTGATTCCTCATGAAGGCATCCTTCGATCTACAAAGAGATGGACTAGGTCAGGACTATATGGTGGTTGTGATAATATGATTTTTCTGATGCTTTCCATAGTTTGTGAAGGATATTGTTTGTCATTTGCCTATGGGGAGAAATATGACATAGATATTGAAGCTTTATGCTAGCCTATGGGAAATGATCAAAAAAACAAAACAATTGATGCCATTTACTTTGTTTTTTTTGCACCCAATATCTGTTAGGCATGTGCAATGCTGGTTTTTGCTCCTAAATTTAGACATGCTGAATTATGTCAGGGAGCATGAATGTTATCACTTTGACCCCATTGTATCTTGAAAATGAAGTCATAAACCTCCATTTTTTATTACATTTTTTGATTTATCATTCCAATTAATGGAAAATGGCAAAGTTTTATCAAAATCAACCCATCAAATCTACAGAGTGAACTCAATTCTATAAACTATAAAGATGATGTGCTAGTGATCTTGGGACATTGTGCAACAAACTTGTAATGTTGTTTTGTCATGTGATTGTGTTACAACTTTGTATCTTGAAAACCAAGTCACGGACCTCCATTTTTATTACATTTTTGAATTCCTCATTGCAATTAATGGAAAGTGACAAAGTTTAATAAAAATTAATCAATAAAATTTTGAGAATGAATGCAATTCTGTAAGCCACATAGTTAGAGCACTAGCAAAGCTACATAGTGGCTTTGCTAGTGTTCTACCTCAGTTAGCTATAATCTATAGTGAAAAAAGTACAAATAACTACCTATATTTATTTTACATGCCATATAGGTAATCAATAATCACTCTGCTTTGATTGATTTTCTTGAATTAAGTTAAAAGTCAATTTAAGCAATTACATATATGTACAGTGCACTTTTGCTAATCTGAACTAATTGTATATAGTTGTCCAGATTAGCAGTGTCAAGTATAAAAAAAAGAAAGTCAGAAACGACTATAGACAAAGTACAAATATTTAAAAACTTTATACTACATTTCATGCATGTATTTATGTTCAAATGAGTAATATGTATTAATTTTACAAATCAAGTTATTTTTAAAAAATAACCTATAGATAATTTTTGTTTTTTGTTGGAATAAAGCAGAATGAACAGAAATAGTTTGGATTAGTGAGAGTGCACTGTATACACATATTTTGAGTGAATATATAGATGATTTTAATTCATTTTTAAAAATTGTAGAAATACTTATATGATGATTTAATGACATGATATTGTAATACTTTGGAATAACATAAGCAGATTTAAATTATAAAATTGCTTGAATTAAGACATTATAAATAAAACTGTACTGTACAAAATCTTTCACAGTTTGTTTGTTTGTATGTAATGATTAATGTAGAATTATTAATAAATTACCAATAAATATAAGAATAATTATTCATTAGATTATTGATAAATTGCAACTTTAATGATTTTTATGAATGACATTAAGTTGTTATTAATTACAGTCTACTGACAGTAAATTAATGTGATTTGAAAAATCCTTAATGAAACATTAAGGATTTTTCAAATTTTACTATTTTTTAATTTAATTTAATTTGATTAATAAAATATACGAATCTAATAATTTTTTACAGTGAACATATGGATTAAGACACAAAGTTTGGACACGCTTGAGATATTTGTATTACTATTATTTTACTCATTTGCTACAATTGAATAAATATGAAATACATGGAAGAAAATAAAATTGAAGTCTGAATTCAGTTAAATGGAGCATGATTAAATTAGTTTTTTCAGAATAATAATAATAATATTGTTGGATGAATTTTAAAAAAAAATTATAGATAATAATAAGCTATGTTTTCAAGTTTATATAACCAAAGAAATTGCATATAATTTATTGGATGTATTTAATGTTTTTTCTTTTTTAATATGCATATGATTATTTCTATATAAAAAAGAAATCTATTATGGTTTGTATAATAACACATGAGGACAATTAACAAAAGGCACAAATAAGAGGATATAAATTTATTTTTAATGGATTTTTTATGAACATATTGAAGATAACAATTTGAAATATTAGAGTTTCCTATGGTAACAAATTAGTACAAAATATAGGATTGAAAAGTTCTTTTAGGAATACCAGTAAATTAAGTGCCACAATGCAGTTCAAGGGTTGACTAATTAAAATTAAAAAGAAAAGTTACAAAAATGATGTAAAATAGTTCAAATATTTTTCTCTGTATAAATAAGAAAAAGTTTTGTATTATTTTAAATTGATTTTTTTAATAAATTAATAATATGAGTTACTGTAATTTTTAATTTAGTAATGCTTATGCTAATATTTGCCACTGAAAAATGGTTATTTTTAATTAATACAATATAATTATATATAATTACAAACTTAAATCTGTTTTTATTCAGTCAACAAATACATATAAAAGTTTTATCTTAAATGAGTTATTCCATTTTCTCAGTAATTTGTTCTGATTTTTATACTTTTAGTATGTTGACCTTTAAATAAACTATTTTTTAAACATTAATTGCATTCAGAGAATAGTAGTGTGACTTCAAATTATATCAGACCAAAAAAATGTCTTAAAAATGAAACATTTCAGGCAACTTCAAAATAGTAATTACTTAGAATAAAAAAGATTACAAAATTGTTTGATTTTTATTAAATAGTTTTAAATCTGTCACAAGTAAACTGACCTTATTTATAAACTTTTTCTGTTGTCTAACATTAAAATAGAAAAAATATTAATTAGTTTTAGTAAAACCCAAAAACTCTTACTTGTTGGCCTCTAATAAATCAGAATTTGGGTTTTATTATAAAGTTAGAGTTTATTTCCTAATTGTTTTACATTTTTTAGTATAAAAAATTTGTTGCTATATGACAATAATTTTTATATCAGTCAATTATATCTGTATAATATATTTATTTTGTGTTATTTTTTTAAGTTTACAGACGAACAGAAAGAAAGAATGGAAAAGAACAAAAGAATTGCTATGCAACGTAGACTACTTTCGGAAAATATTGGTAATGAAGGCAGTAGTCAAACAAACATGGAATCTGTTACAAATGAAATAGAGAAAAACAATTATAGCTTAACAAATAATGATGATGATTTAAGTGAAAAATCTATAATGACACATTTAAATGATTCAAATCTTGACACATTAATATCTAATAATAAAACTGTTGAAAAAGAGCATCCTGAAGAAAATCCTCAATGTTTTATTGGAAAAAACAGCAATAATAAATTAAACATGAACTCTCTGAATTCAGATAAAGTATTATCTATTGAAGAACCCAAATATATTGATGATTTGGAAAATAATGATTATTCAAAGAAAGAACTTGATTGTTATGCAATACAAAATGATGATAAATTAAATACATCATCAAAGAAGAAATTGAATTCTGCGGTTATTGATGAAGAACCTATTGATATTGATTCAGATGATAGTGATTGTCTAAGAATCGCTTGTGATGAAGATAGTTATAATTAACAATTATTAATGAACTGAAAAATGATTATTGTGCTTATTAAATGTTTTTTAATTATTATTTTTCTGAAAGTATTTTTACTTTTCAAGTTAGAATATTTAAGGTTGGCTTGGAATTCTGACTTTTTGAAGCTTCAATATTTAGTTTTGGCTAGTTTGTATTTTTCAGAGTTATTATAACTAATTATTGATACAGAAATTGTATATAAATTACTGTAAGCATGCATAGTTATAAAATTAAATAAATATTTTAGATATGTATCAAAACTTGAAAGGTGTCTTTCATATACAACAATTAATGTGCTGTTAACAAAACTTTTTAATTAATATAATATTCACTTTCAATCATTAGCTAATGTTTTTTTAACATTAAATTAATACACACAAAAACTAACAAAATTAGTAATTGAAATACTAAATTTTTATTTTAAACTGTTTACTATTATAAAAGCAAGCTTCTTTTTAACTCTTTAAATCAATTTGTTTAAAAAAATGAATTTAAACACACAGCAATGATACAAAATACTCATTTATTAAAGAATTTCTTAAAAGATATCACACAAATTTTAAATTTCACATATGGAATATATATAAATGTAGTATGCAGTTTGCATGTTAATTATTTTAAAATAAATAAATAATTATCATTTGTAACTTATATTTAATTTAATTTAATTTGTAGTAATTTACACAGAAGTTTCCAACTTTCAGCCTTTTTAATATGATTAAATAGTTTATTTTTAATACTTAACTCATGTACAATTATCATTATGATAAAAAGAAAGATTTTAAATTTCAATCATTGACAGCTGAATAAAAAAAATATTGATTATCTGAAATAATCTTTATTATGAACACTTTTATCATATTCCAATGATGATATTAAAATATTTAAGTATAATCTTTGAACTTATAACAAATAAATTTCTTGTACAGTATCTATGGTATAGTATTTTCTATCCAATGAATATTGAAAATAATTAAAATCATTTAATATAGAAAAAAATTCTTTAGCACTTATATCTTTTGATTAATCTCTTTTAACTTACATAGGAAACAATAAAATTAATGAAAATATTTAAAAAGTATTAGTATTTTAAAATCAGTAAGTGAATTATTTATATCAATAAAACAGTATCAAAGAACTTTAATAGCTATATTAATTTATTAGCAGGATTTTTGTTTTATGGAAAATTTTTCAAATGATTTCCATAAAACAGATTCTTACATCAATATAAATTTATACAAAAATTTTTATACTGTTATATGCAATAAATTATTTTTCTATAGTATATAAATTGATCAAATAAAACAATAATAATACAAAAGATATTATATACTTATATATACATATACATTTTCGTTAAGTACATTTGATTCAATAAAATGTCTAACAAGTAAGTGATCTGTTACAAGTGTAGTGTTTACTGTACGGAGTAAATGTGATTGATCATGACTGATTTTTAGTCTGATTGATCAAGTCTGATCAGACTTGCACTATAAAAGGGATAATGATTGTAAAAAAATATTACAGTAGATAATTCAGTAACAAATTAATTAATGTAGTAATCTTTTTTATTTTAAATTTCAATATAATTTTTATTTTATGATAAATTTGTGCATAAAATTATTTCCTAATTTTTAAATTAAGTACATTTATTTGATTAGTAATGTGTTTTCTGTTATAACCTTTTTTATTAATTTTTCTTTCACAGTATGCTTTCTGTATGTAAAAATATACATTAAAACACATAGGCAATTCACAGCTGTGTTTGTTTGTTTGTTTATGTGTTTGTATATATACAGTTCATAAATATATTTTGTAAAAAATAGTAAACAATTTTATAAAGATTTATCTCTGGCATTACACAATTTATCTCAGCTGATTGAATAAGCATTTTGAAAAAATATAAAAAAAAAAAAAAAAGAATTTAGTTTGACTAATTTGGAAAGTAATTTGTATTATAGTAAAAATTTAAAAAAATAATAATTTATTTATTTATTGTGCATAAATTGAATGCTAAGGTAATATTTTGGTATAAAATGTGAAGTTTGAATTTTATTTAAAGTTATTTCCCTTCGAATATGGTGGATTAGTTTGCCGGTTTCCATGACAACGTTATCTAATTTTACACCACAACATATAAATTTTATACAAGAAAAATAATTTTAAATTATTTACAATAAAAATAAAAATAAACTTATTAGAAAAGAAAAAAAAATGAAAGACCGGAATCGTTATAATTTAACTTTATAGAGGGCGATACTTGTCTCCTATTAAAATCGGGAAATGTTTAGCAGACGACCATAATGGAGATGGAGACGAGTTGCCGTGGTTGTTATGTGGTTTGTTCGGTCGAACATCAGAAAAACTGTTTGGATTTGTGATAATGTGATGCGACAATGATAATCGGTAAACGATGCACGAATTTAAACGCACACCTTTCCGGCTGCATTACGATGTTTTCGAAGAAATTGGAAGGTGAGATGAAAAATGGAGTCTTTCTTATCTGTCAACTCTTCGTCTTTGTGTTGTGCTCAAATTTCAAATTATTGATTTTATTTCAAAATATATCCTAATCACTAATTATAAAGTAGATACTAATGTGTTATTTTATAATTACTTACCAATTATTTCTTATTTAACCTATAATCAATGTGCTTATAGATGCTGTCTTTGATTTATGTGTAAATTAAGAATTTAAAGATTTATTAAAATAATATATAAGTTATCATTATTTATTTTCTTTTAGGAATTTATCACATCATTAATTTTTTCTACAGACTTATTATTTTACATGTGTTTTCATATGAATACACACACACAACACATATACAATACATGAACACAACACAGTTAATTGTATATCAATATTTTGTAAGTAATTACCATCTTTTTAGAGATAAGCACGATTTCATAAATTTTTTTCATTACAAAACATGTTTAATTTATAACATACATTATTATACATTTAAAATGTTTTTTATGTGGGAAAGATTCGCCAAACCATGTTTATGTGTAAAAGATGGTAAATACGTACAAGATATTGATATATCATTAACTGTTTTTGTAATTGTTAATTTTATAAAAGGAAAAACTTTTAAAGAAATTATATTTTTTATACGTAAAATAAAGATGTAAGAGTTTCGTTGTGATCTGTAGCATTTCAAATTGTCACTGCGTGTTGATTATATCTACGGTTTCGTTTCACATTTTTGCTGAATATGAATATGAAAATATGAATAATTAAATCTTTATTGCAATAGTAAGTGATCTAATTATCAGTATGAAGTAAAATGAATATTAATTATTATTTTTGAATTAAATTATTTATTTATAATGATTTGAAATTTGTTTCTATAAAAATGAATATCAGATATAAAATATACATATGATTTTGCCATTGTTCTTTTTAGTTCATATGTTAAAAATTTTTAAAAGTGTAAAAATATAAAGTAATATTCAAGAGATTTTTGTTTATTTATGCAGTTTTAAAATTTATTTTATTTCTTTGATACTTATTAAATTCTTTTTATGTATTTTAAAACAAACTGTAAAACATGAGCATACAAAATTTTGGGATATTTTAAATTTGATGTCAATGAATGTCCTGAAAATTATTGGAAAAATATAATTATCAAAATGCAAAGACAAGACTCCTCAAAATATTTATTTATCTTAAAAAATGAAATCAATAAAAATAGATTTATTTCAGTTAAATTTTAATCAGTTTGTTTTGATCAGCTATATCAGTTGAAGTTGAATTTTTTTTGTCCTGTTTTTAAACTCTTCTGATAAAACCTGTTTCAAAATTGTTTATTTTAAAATTTAAAAATTTCTTTAATCAAACATTTTTATCATTTCTATAATTTATCTATATTCTTCTCATTCTTAGATATTTTTAGAAGTTGTGAAATATATAAAGTAATATATATATATATTACTTTCACAATTTTTCAAATAGATAATGATTTCCTCACAATGTTACTAATGTTACAATAATTTTTAAAATTAATGTATAACACTTACATAATTGGAAAATGGATATATATTTATATCATTCACATGAGTGCACATGTGATAGATGTAATTTTGCATTTACGATACAACCCAAAGACCAAATTATATTCCAAATATAAATCATGTTTAGCTAGATTTTTCAAGTAATATTTATATAAAATAGTTGTATCTACTACTTGTAGGCAAATTACAATAATATAGTTAACAAATTACTAGCTAGCAAATACTATAATTAGAGATTATAAAATCTGATTGAATTTTGGTTTATATTCTATGAATAGTAAGTGCATTATATAACATGATTATGGAAGAATACCTAGAGTCAGTCCATTTGTAGAAGCTATAATAATGGTGAAATGTTTGTTTCAATTTATATGAATGTATTTATCTAAATTTCTACTTATTGTCTTATATTTAAATACTCAATTTGTGGGATAGTTTTCGTTTGATTAATTAAAGTAACATAATTTTACAAAATATGATTGTATGGATACTAAACAAAAGATACCTTTAGTATTTTTTTTTTTTTTGTTTTTGTTATGTTAGTAGAATGAGTAAAGATGTTAGAAAAAGTCTAAGTGAAAAAATGATAAAGTGATCTGTTTATGAAATTTGCTGAATTGTTTTCTATAATATGATTATCTTTAAAATTGAAAATTGATATTGGAAAAATTTCATAAGAAATTGATAAAGCAGAATGATTGAAAAAAATGGTAAAATAGTAATTAAGAATTAATTTGTCCTCTACCTATTCATATATACAGGATGATACCTCCTACTAATCAAAATTACAAACTTTGAATGATATTTGTCTCTATTGAACACACATTTAATTACAGAATTAGCACACATTTATAACATAATTATTACTGTATCAATTATTAAATATATAATCATTGATAGTTGAAATTTTATGAATAAAATTGACTTTTTTTATTGTATTTAGAATTTACTTGTACTGATGATGATGTAACCAGCTAATAACATATTAAATTGGATAGGTAAATAAGACTATAATTAGTGGAAATTCTGACATTAAAAGGACATGATAAAACATTGTTTTAAAAATGAATGCATGAAGATTTATTATTTGAACACTTTTGTGCAACTCTATCATAAAGTGTGTGTTTTTCATTTCACGAATAATCTGTAATACATCAAATTTTACAATAGATGACTGATGCGAAAAAGAATTTCTTTTAGTCATGCAGAAACAATAATGGAAATTTTGTTTTTAAGAAAATTTTATTATGATTTGGTTCTAGGTCTTATTATAAACATTTTTAGGTGCTGAAGCTGAAAATATATTTTCTTTATTATATCTCATTATTTTTATTTATTCATTGTCTAAAAATTCATTTTTAACTAATGCTCCTTATCAATATTTATTAGTAAATTAAAGCACATTTACTTAAGTTTTCTAAAATTTATTTTATGTAAAATGTTATTTTAAATGAAAAATGACATTTCTTTTTCAAATTCACATTTTAGAATTTTATAAATTCAGTGTATATATTATATAAAAATATGAATTCTATTCTTGATTAAATAAATTTGTTATAATTATTTTTCAAATTAATTATGTATTTAAAAATCTCCAATATTTGTTGTTACAAAAGATAAAATGCAGTCGTATCTCTAGATGTCAGAACTTTTGGAATGAGAATATTTAAAAAAAAAATTTTGAAAATATGTTGTTCAAAAGAATAATGTTTAATTGTTTTATTAGTTTAAAAGATTTTTTCATATTATACAAAGAAGAAATAACATTATTTTTAATATTTTTATTTAATAATTTATGATAACAAAAAATGAGTTTAGCCTACATTTTTAAAATTAATCTTATTTAAATAATTTCAGTCTTATTCCTGTATAGAATCCAAATTTCAAATTAAATTAATCAAAAATCATTTCAATTTTTTTGTAATGTGGAAACTACACTAGTTGCAATTTATTACAAATTCAATTTATGATATGAATTAAAACATTTATAAATTTAATTAATTTATAAAAGACAACTTTTAATTTTATATAACAAATATATGCTCCATTAGAATATTTAACTGCAGAATTTGATTCAAGCACTTTTGAATTTGCATTCATTTTCAGGAACGCTTAAGAGAATTTTGAACATTGTTATTCAAAGCTTCTGAAAGCTTGTATGGGGCCTGGGCATAGAGTGGAAACCCCTTTGGCAATTTGTTTTTTGTTTTTCAAATAAATGAAATATGTAGAATGTTTCTTTATTAATAAAAAGCAATCTTAAAGATTTTTTTTGTATTAGTAAAAAAAAAATGTTTATAGGGGTAAGAATTGCAATGAGTGTCTCTTTTCTCCAGGCCTAGGGAAAATCTTCAGTTTGCCGTCTTGATAGCCCTGCTTCTATATTAATGTGTTATAAAAAGCTAAGGTTTTGTTTTATATAAGCTAACTAACTGAGAAATTAAATATTAATTTAAACTAAATTATTAAATTTTTGAATTGAGAAATTTTTGAATGCATTAAAAAATCATTTAATTTTTAGTTTATTTAAATAAGTTATATCTAATTTAAAAGTCAGAACAACTATTTGGTTAGCGGCATCATTAGTTACAGTAGATATCAGATACCTAATATAGGAATCCTTTATTTTTTTGGATTTTTTTTCATTGTAATTTATCTTAAGATAAACTTCAAGTTAGCTCTAATTGAGAATAATACTGAAAATAAAAAGTGCTTCATTTAGATAAATATTTCTATTCCTATAAATAAGCTCAGGGTATAAAATGAAATGAGTATTGAATATATATTAATGTTTGAGTAGATTATATTTTATAAAAAAAAAAGGACAATTTGTTGTCATTGATTGAAATCTGCCTTCTATTCAAAATTTTAATTTAAAAGTTTATAGTAGTAATAAAAAAATTTAAAAATTATTAATGAAATTAAATATATGCATAAATTGTTTTAATTGCTCTTCTCGGAAGAATAATTAAATAATACTGAATATTACTTTGAAATTAAAAAATATTGTTTCTTTTACCAAATATTGCTTGCTTTAACTACTATGACTGCTGTATCATTAAATATTGTAAATTGTTTTCAACATAATAATTAATATCTATGGCATTACAAACAGTTATTTAAATTGAGACAAAGAAACCAATACTGATTAATTTTCTTTTCCTTTCCTTTCACTGTATAAAAAATAGAGATTTTGTCTTTAATTCTCTATTAATTTGCTTTTTCTTTTTGACATTTTCATTACTTAGTTCTGTAACAAATTTATAATATAATTGCTCTGAGCTAAACAGAAGAGATGAGTAATCAGGCAATTTCAGTATAGGGCAGGAAAAAATCTTGATAAAATATAAGTTATTCTTATTAGTGCAGAATCATCAATGATGACAGTTTTTGAATATTATCCAAATATTTTATTTGAGTCTTTTTAATTAAACTCTTATTACATACAGTTTTAAAAA